GGGATGCGCTCATCCCAGGCATTCGCACTGTTGCACATCTGTCAGTAGAGCATGTTTTGCTATACTCTCACAAGCTGAAGTGGCACAGCTGCGCCACCTGAAGAACACAGCATGCTGATCTGCTTGCTGAGTATTGCCTTCAGTGCAGAAGGGTCTGCCGTGCCCCACACCATCAGTAGCACTTCCCTGCTGTCTGCACACAGTGTCTCTTGAATCTGCTTCCTAGCCTCCCTGTTCCATGGCCTAATAGCCGTAGTGGTCTGGGTAACGTCCTGATTGCTGAGCGGCCTGCTGGCAAGAGTGCACACAGGGGACCCAAAATCTGTAGATTTATTGCTTCTAAACCAAAAAGTATATTAAAAAAAAAAAGAAGAGATAAAAATAGATGAGGAGCTTGGGGACCGGAAAGGCAGCCAGTGGAGATTAGATGCACTGCTGGTTGACTCATCCAGCTTATTTTATTGTAGCACAGCTCCAATAACGGCTGTATTATTTCAGCTTATGTGCAGTGAGCAGACATTTGTTTTGCATAGAAGCTTTTTCACATAAATGTGCTCCATTTTTCATTTCTCCTTGCATCTCCCAGCTTTTCAGCTGGCAATTGCACATGAGAGAGGTGATGGCTCCAAAAAAATGTTAGCCAACTTCTCAGCTGGTATAAATCAGCAACACCCTCTGGTCTTTAATAAAGCTATGCAGCTTTATACCAGTTGAATCTGCCCCAACTTTTCCTTTAAAACACATCCCACCTTATAAAGAGCTGTGTTTTCGTCAGTGGTGGATTCTGAAATTAATGAAAAGTACTGGCCCAGCTGCCTCATAGAGCAAATACAGTGTGCATCTTGGCAGGATCAGCTTTCCAGTGTGTGGCTGCTTTCAGTCGGAGGGACTTCTTTGCCAGAGAACAATAACAGCCATCATATGCTGCCTGTGGGACTTGAGCCGTGACCGAATATCCTGCAGAAGGTCTGCACACGGGCCAGACACTGCATGCTACCCACTGCCTCCCAGCGTCTTTAGCCCCTGCTTTACTTCAGTTCATTAAAACTGTTGTGTGCTTGCATGTAAGTGGCTACGAGGAACAGCTGGGGAGAAAAGACGTGGAATGTGTGTCAGTCTTCATTAGCTGTTCTCACCTTGCTTCACAGCTTGAAAAGTGCTGCCATGCCAAGTTGGGCTGCATTCAGAGGCAGAGATTGGAAATAACTACAGGGAAAGGGAAGAACAAGCATTTACCATAACCTGAAAACAGGTGAAACTACACCTACCTCACAGGCTGTGCATTTGTTACAAGACGGTGGTGTTTTGCAGCTTTTAGGGTGTATACAGACTGAAGGAATACTTTGGATTCTGTGTAGCTTTTTAGAGAAGGTTGTTAAAGGGAGATTTTCTGGGACAGAACCTGGTGATCAGGAGGGTCATTTCTGACCCATGTTCCTGTGCATCTCATTATCAGTTCTTGAGCAAGCCAGACTGTGGTGCAGGCAAATGTTGTGTGGCTGCTTAGCTGTGGTAACAAGAAAAAGAGCCTTTATCTCTCGCATGTTTGCGTGAGCACTTTTTTAGCTGAAGGAAAGTCTGTGGAAGAATCTGCCAAAATGCGACTTTGTTTTGTCAGAATCTTCTCCCTTATTGTGGAAGCTTTATGTTAACAGGCTTTTCCACAGCAATGTTGTGACTAGGTGCAGAGCTTGCATCCCATCTCTACCAGAGACACAAACAGATACTTAAAAAAAAAAAAAAAAAAAACCTGAAAATCTAGTGTTGCCATTCAGACAGCTATATAACCAAAAAGAAGGTCCAAAGTGATATACAGTCAATTTATACAAGTGCATATGAATTAAATTTACAACTACCTTTGTAACCATCAACTATTTTCTATCTTTAAAAAAATGGCTTCGTTGTTTTTTCATAAACTTGTCAATCTCATGAATATCCAGTGACAGTCTTTTACAGGAATAAGTGGTGATGTAACAGCAGCGTTGTGTAGGATGAGATAAATTTGGGTATGAAATAAATGACGACCTCCATAGGAGGTAGAGTTAGGAAACTAGTGTGTGGGAAAATTGGAGTGAGTGAGAAGGCAGCAGGGAAAAGGAAGCCACAGTACAAATTAAAGATTGGAAGTAACAGGACTGGATGCCAAGAGCCTCAGAAAAGAAAAAAATATATATCCTTGATTAGCTAAACTATTTGTTTTACTATATAAAAACTGACCTCCTCGAAGAGCCCTGAGCCCTGGCCTCCTGGGTGTCTGAGTACGTGCAGGCGAGTCGCTGCCATGCTGATGGCAATGCAAATACTTCAGCAAGAATCTTCTGCCCCATGGATTTCCAGTAAGACCAGGTGCAAACACTTCAGCTGGCAGGATCTCTGCCCACGTCAAGCCTTACATTTTATTCAACCTGGCAATACACGCTTTCCTTTTTTTTTTTCCTAAATTGCTGCAATAATCCATTGCAGTTCCATTAGCTATGTGTGACTGTGTGTGTTGAAGGGAGCTGCCGTCTCTCAGAGCAGCCCAGGCATGACTTCCAAAGGGACCAGCTGACAGCACAGCAAGCATAATGAGCCCACTCCCCCAGCTGAGCTCCACACAACCACAGGAGGGACAGGAGTCCCTCAGTCTCCTGCACTGAGGCCTCCATAGGCCCCAGTTCCATTGCTGCAGCCAGCAGGATCCTCCGCTGCCCTGCAGGTACGGAGCTTTTCTGGTGCCCTCATCCTGGGTCCCCAGGGATTATTTCAGCTCTTCTGACCTGAAGACTTTGCCCTACCCAGGAGATGCTTTTAAGCACTATGTTCTCATGGAAAGCCATGGACCAAGCCTGAACCATGGATCAATTACCAATTACAGTGGGTAATACAAATGACCACTTACGTTAAGATGGTGTCATCTTAATGTAAGTGGTCATTTGTATTACCCACTATTACTGATAATGTTTTTCTCCCACTCATCCATTCCCAATGGCATCACCAAGTTGAGTCCAGCCTGTAGAAAGGGAAATTCGAGAGCTACAGAGAATGTGCTTGAGCACCTAACCTGGGTGTGCTTCTAGCGCTTGCTGATGCTTTTTGAACGGGAATTGTTCTGCCAAGGATACAACACGAATGAAGAGCTATTGCAGACAGAGCTGCTTACAGAGCACAGACGGGGAACTGAAACCTTTTGCCAGCAATTCGCCCTGTTACTTGTTCTCTAAAAACCCATCTTCCATCACTCTGTAACTGCAAAAAGTCATAAGAGAGGCCAGCTTGTGAAACAGCCTGGTACAATTTAATTAAATAATGTAAAGACTGCAAGTGAAGAACTCTTTAACAGAGAATGGAAACATTACAGGACTTCTTCATGATGGAACAAGATTGAAACAAGCAACATTTAACCTTTGTAAAAACTTCTAGAAGTGAACCTCTCTAAACACCTCTATTACAATCTGAGTTTTATAGGTGGAGAAACAAAGAGATGATTGTATTTATGAGGCCTCTAGCAGGTGTGTCTGTACACATAGTCTACATAGAGCTCTGGTCCTGGAGCTAGAATCTATATTCAAGTTCGGGACTATACCTGGAATCATGGTCAAAAATGAGTCATGTGGGTATCTAATTGCACATTTTTGGCCATAAACCAAACCTTTTAATCTGTACTAGTTCGTTCAGATTGCACAAGGCTACAGGGTGAGCAGAACATACTTGTATTGAATTGTTCTAGCTTTCCTTGTTTGAGTATATTAAGGAAGATGAAGAAGGTCAAGTGAAGGCAGTTCGCAGGGACCTTGAATGCAAGGCTTCCAAGCACTTGAGATTTACTGTGCTTAAAGGTGTATTCCAGCATCCTTTCTCAGGAACAAAACAGATTTGAAGCCCAACCAAAATCAAGTCCCTCAAACAAGCTTAGCTCAGGAATGTGAGAGCACAATATCAGCAGCAGAGGGACATCACTAAAAAAGGAAGAAATAATATCAGCTGCTCTCTGTTCATACTAGATTGTTCTTCCAAGAATCTCAAGTCTTCTGAAATGCCACTAAACTCTCAGTATACCCTTTGGATGGCTGGGTGTTACAGATGAGGAAACAAAAGATGGGAGGCTGTGCAGCCATTGCATGACACAGTGGCATTCAATTTGGGGTGAAGCTGCCTTAGGCAGTCAACACATACTTAATATAGACGTCTATATATGTGATGTCTATTTTCAGCTGTACTGTACAAGACCAAAAGTGGTCCAGGGCTTCTAATCTCTTTATTTACCTATGAGATTACACAGTCACTTCAGACATTTTTTGTAGGCTTCAACAAAAAGGAATAGAACAAGTTACCAAATAGTTCCAGAAGACTTTTGCAACTGTTGGTGTGTAGGTTTGTTGTTTCTGCAGAGGCAGGAGAGCATCACAGTAGAAAGTGAAGGCAGGAGGGGCTCTGAAAGAGATGCTCATGCACCACAAAACAGTGCATAGAATATGCTACCTAATTGCTAAAGTACAATGAGTGTTCAAAGCCACATTAATGCCACATGAATATTGGAAGCTATTTGTTGGCCAGGAAGAGAGAAATGGAACATTAACAGTTTCTGAACATGGGCAGGATGCACACATAGGAACAATTTTCATTGCAAGTTTTTAATTCTACTGGATTTTTTTGGAAGTATCTGCCTGCTGTTCCACCACGATCAGAATGAAGACGAGGGATTGCAGTATGATTGTGTATAATCAAAGAATATTAGGATGCTATAATCACAAACTAAACAAGAGATTTAGGCAAAGTAGACTATGATAACAAAAGAGAAAAAATAGAAGGCTTACCCTTACCCTGGGCTCACCCACAAAACACCAGTAGAGGCAACCTCCAGAAGAGATCCTTCCCCACTGGCAGTCAGCTCTTAAATAGGTCTAGGAGAGGTGCAGCCAGGCTCCACCCCTTCCGGCAGCACAGGTGAATTGCCTTCAGCTGTGCTCCTCTGGCTGACTCCTGGCTCGCCTCAGGTGATCAATCAGAGGTTCAGGCCGTGACTCAGCAGTTCCCACACAGATTGGCACAGCAAAACTAGGAAACAATACAAAATGGGAGTTTGTCACATAAGTAGAGTGTATTAAACTGATTCTGTATAGTATTTTCATCCCGAAGTGCTTGAGAAGTTTGCATATAAATGAATTACTTCCCTGCGGCTTAAGTGCAACTACATCTGGGCTGAAATGCAATTGTCCTCATTGTGCATCCAGTGCTTAAGCTGCTTGTGAAAGATTTGCTATGTTATGCATTTGTTTTCATCCAGCTGTTCAGAATAAAATGAGGGCTTTGCAACACCTGATTCAGATTCACAAATTGGAAAAGGCTGTTGCTAATGCCAGAGGTCCTCCACTGAAATTTCCAAATCAGAATTCAGAGATGTGTTAATACATGGCCGTAAACAATTACAAGCAATAGCATGTAAGCCCTGCTTGATGAATCTTGAGGAACTGGTGGCATCGCTTGCATCTCTGGAAACTCGCTACTACAGTTGTTAGGGGTGGCAGGTCATTTTGTTAGGAGTTCGCTGTGTCCTGGTCTCTCTCTACTCTTCCTCTTCTTCCAAACACCTGTGACTTAAAGAGAACCCCTGAAGTTGAGAGGGAATTGAGAGGCTAAAGGAATTAAAAGAATTTCATGTTATTTTTCCATCATATAAAATATCAGTAGTTGACGCACTTCCTTCACAAGTTCTACCTTTATATAAGAGATTTGAAACAGCCTAATTCCACACATTTTCTCAGTAGTTCCCAACTTCTTTTGATACTATTTCCTAACTACTCATTTGATGAGGAATAATGAAGCTAGAGCAGTAGAACTATATCTGTATATATTGCGGATGTCTTACATTTATTTATTCCTGCATTATCAGAGCTTGCTTACCTTGGCAAGTACAGTATGTATAGTAACAAGAAGCTTGACGTACCCTGCCATCTTTTTTGCACTAGTTCCTTACTCTAAAGTTACCTTTACTCAAGTAGAAAATAACAATCAAGAGAGGTGATATCATTTTTTGTACATTCATACTTTTTCCAAAGTCAATAACAAAGCTGAGACTATTCTGTGATTGTCTTTTATATTTTCTGCTGGATTTCATCCCCACCATTTTTAAGCAAATCATCACCTACAAAATCTAGCTCTGGACTTTGCATCATTGTATTTTCATCAAATGCTCCAGGGATTAAGTTTGAACCTGCCAAATCCCTCCCAATCTGCAAATCATAAATTTGTAAGTGAAAAAAAATTCTTTGTGTTTGTGAGGAGAGGGGGTTTGCCAGACCACTTTGGCAATCACAGCAAGTGGCTTATGGTCAGTTCTCTTAAAAATTAAACAGTAATCCAGGAAACCTTTTTACACTCATGGGCAAATGCCAAATCCTTTCTCTCTGACACTTGGATTTTGTTAGTATTCACTGCACAGAAATTACTGTCCTCCAGTTCTGACTATATTGCAAGAGGATTAGCTCAATTCTCTTCTGGGGACAACTCTGTCTCGTGTGTGCCGTTAAGATACCATGGGGCTGCATCCTCTTCAATGACCTCTTTCATTTTCTGCAATTGTTATCATTTGTAGTCAAAGTCAGCTGGATGTCTTATAGCAGTGCCCTGGGGTTGGCAGGTCACACGATCAAGTTGCACACATCTCCTAGGGCTCTCATTTCAGCAAGTCTTTGTGCCCGCTGCTTCTGCACGCATCTCAGCTCCTCCGTAACCCTGCTGCATACCTGGCTCTGACAGTGTCTCTCCCCAGTGTTTTATAGCTGCTGTGAGAAATTAGCATTTTTGTCTGTCTAGCCAGCTTCGTTTCTTCTCAGGCAGCTCTGAAGCCCTTTACCATGTTATTCTGTGTTGTTTTTTTTTCTGCTGATCTTAACATCATCTGATCTGTGTAAATGCTGAAAACTTGGTCCATCATCAAACATCTGCTGTATTTTTGGAGAAATGTCTCAAGTTTGGTGAAGCAATCTAAATCACCAGAAACTGTGATTCTCAATTTGCACAAAATGCGTGTTCTGTTTTTTAAGGGCTTCTGCCAGACCCTGCTGACACATGAAGCATAAGAAAATATTTGGCATCAGCCACTTCCCCAGAGATTTTTCCTCTTGTAGGTAGTGGAAAATGATCCCTCTGTACACATGTATTCAATTCTTTTAGGTCTATTCGTAAGCAAAGGTTTCGTCTCCTTTTTTAGAATACCCATTCTGATGGTTTCACTATGCAGCTTGCGGTGATGAATAAATTCACCTCCTATTTTTGCCTCTGCTTTAGGGCACGGGGAAACCATGCCAGTGTTGTAGATTGTGGATGTGGAGGAGTCTTCAAACTCTTTTTCAGGGACTTGATTCCCCCTTTTTCCAAAGCAAAAGGCATCTTGATAAGGCAGAAGACGGCCTCCCTTTTCTCGTATGTTATTGAGGTTGCTTGCCTGCCTGCCTGACTTTCTAGCCCTGCTGCAGGACTGAACTCACCACATTGCTCTAGAGTTTTACCAGTTTCTGTTGCGGCATGGCTGCTGGCAATGCACAGGCTCACGCACCAATAAGTGCCTTAGGGCCAACACATGCCACTCTGTTACAGAGCACTGGAGGCTCTTTGTACCTCAGACACCTCCATAAATCCTCTCTCTCATAAACTCTCCATGGTGTTTAATGCTGCTGTCCTTCAGGGCGTGCATCTACTGGTGGAACCTTCTAAGGAATGATGGGGTCCTGCCTGTTTATGTTCTCTACCTGGCATATGCCCAACACCTCCACTTACTGAGAAGGGACTTGGGTTTTTGTTGCATGGTAGGGAGAAAGTGAAGCTTGGATACACGGATCCTTTTCCCATCAAGTTCAGGAGAGATCCAGGCCCAGGCCCACCTTTGGTTACCTAGGAAGGAAACAAAGCAGAGTTGTAAAGAGAGCCAGACGCGAACAACGTTTAGGGCTATGTGGCCCCTTCTAACAGGACTATGCACTGTCAAATCTCAACAGCTCACCCTCAGTCACATCATCATGGATTATGAGTGCACAACTGTTGCTAAAAGAGAGCAAATGAGAAAAAATAATAAAAAGAGGCAAAATGCAAGAGGCTTAGGAGGCCCCTGGTTTCCTTAATGGAATTAGCCCTTCCTTTATGAATTCCAGGGCTAAACTCTGTAAATGTGATTCACATACTCCCTCCCCTCACCAAAGCAGAAAGATCTGCTAGACACATGTTCTAAGTGGAGCAGGGGAAGATATGATGTGACTCAAGAGCCTGGAAGGCTAAAAGGAGTAGATGGGGAGAGCGCTGCAGCCCTTGATCTTTGCAAGATTTACTGCCTTTGCCTCTTGCAGAGATCTTTTTTTTTTCCCTGGAAAATTGCTAGCTTCTAGCAATTTGAAAAAAAAAAAAAATTGGCTGGGGCAGTAAACAAGATCTTTGAAGGGGGAAGGAAGCCAAGAGAAAGTCAGGCCCATTAGTCACGCAGCTGCATTTCCTGTCACAAAGGACCCCAGTTGAGTAATCACTCAAAATATGCTTGTTATTTTTTCCTATTTTACTTCAACTTTCAGCTTGCCAATATCTACTGTAAGAACAAATTAAAACAAGAAAAAGAAGTCTTTTATTCTCAGGGGAGAAAACAATGTAGAAACAGACACTGATTTACATTATTTTTCCTTTCTTTAATTTTCATGGTCTAAAAACACTTCAATCATTTGAGAGGAATGTAAGTAGCTCTGAGTCTGAGGCAGCCCTGGTGTTTTCAGGGTATATCATTTCAGCAGGAGTGTGGGTGTTAGAGTTCCTTGGCTCCATGTCCAGCTGCTACCAATAATTTGCTGCACAACCTTGATTGAGTCATGAATTAATTTATCTGTAATTTATTTTGACTGTATGAAAGGTGAAGATGATAACAGCTTCTGCATAATTACTTTGTTAAGCTTCACTAATAATGCTTATAAGTAATACTGGGTGTTCTGAAATTTTTGTTCAAGTTTTGTCCAAATATTTGTCTAAAGAAAAACTGGAGTGAGGACTAAAACACATAGACTTTTAATTTAAAGCAGAACATTCTTATGAGCAGATTTTAAAAGAACTTAAGTGAAAAAACGTTGGAAATAGGAACTGGACTATGAAATAGGAGAAGGAAAATCTTGCTGACGCAGTATCTTGAGATGCTTAGAGGTAGAAAAATAGAGCAAATGTGTCACAGTACAACTGCTTTTACAGTGTTGGAAGAGAGGGTGTAATTGACCAACAGTACCACTTGCCCACATCCAGATCTTAGATTTAAAGACAGTGGCTCTGATCAGTCTGGGACCATCATCAAAAGTACATCACCAAGAGTACATGAAGAAAGTAAAGCCAGAAAAGTGCCCCTTTTCCAGACTGTTCAAGAAAAAAACCCACCTCTTTTACCAGCAAGTAGAACTCCAAAACACCAAAGACCACATTTTATTTACTCAAAACTAATGAGTATGGTGACCAGGCCACCTATGAAGAATGACTGTAAGCAAGCTTCAGGGCACATAACAGGTTGTCACTTATATTCCTGATTGGAGTACCTGCCTATATGGCTACAATGAAAATGACTGCAAAGAGGAAACTCCTGTTTGGACTGTTGTGTAAGTAGAGAGTAGGTGACTGTAGTTTATGGTACAGAATAGCGCAACTTAAAATACCACACAAAAAATGACACTTACATTTGCATGTAAGTGACTGGTAATGTCATATAATTCTCTAATTTGCACACATTTGATACTACAGAAGTGTGGTGTTTTTAAAACCACAGCTTATGAGCAGATGTGATTTACACAGCAATGGAAATCACAGCCTCCTAGAGCTCATAAAAGGGTGCAAACACAAACAAATGTGAGACTTACGCTATTTGATTTAAGAGAGACTTTGAAAAGCTGTTTCTATGTATTTTGTAAAGCAAGTCAAAATGATAATTTCTGCTTATTTACACTGAATGGAAAGGTAAGAGTCTTGTGAAGCGTGATCCAAATATGAAAAATTCAGCTCCAAATTATGTTTGTAAAGTTCATCCTGTGTCTCTCCAAATGGCAGGCAAGGCAGATGGTGCTCCTCGAGAGGGCACAAGTGGACACTCCCTGGTTTGTGGTCTGAGCTAGCACCAGGCTGTAGGGGTTCCCTGCTGTTCTCACACCAGATGACTTTCACCACTACATACCCCAGCCTCCCAGATCCCCATAGTATCTGACATTCTGTGCAACAGCCATAGTTTTATGTTCCTAAAACTTGCTCTGCTGTGATGTGAGCTTATAAAGGCCATTTCCAGTGATTGTTGGTATCCTCGTAGCTTAGAAATTATATACTGGTATGTATGAATGAGTGGAAATAATTAGTTTACAAAAGCAACATAAACTTGGAACATCCTCTTTTATGAGTACCACTGTATGTGTACTTAGTGTTACAGGGGCATATAAATCACACATCCGCTACATCAGACTGTAATATAAATAGCCATCTATGGGATTAATTATTCCTGACAAGTATTTGGGCAGCAACTAATATTTATCTATTTACCTACCTGTTTACTTCAGAAATTTGTATGGCTCTGTAGACATAGTACTTGAGTATCTGCAGACCTCTGAACTTTTGATGTATCTGTTCTGTCCACACGAGTCTGATGTAGATTAATACAATTAGCTCTGTGTAAGTGTGCCACTAAAGTCCTAAGAAGAATGAGTAACCCAGAATAACCTCTGAAGTGTATGACCTCTTGATTCACCTCCTGGCTGCAAATAATTTCTCTCAGGCTTACATGGGAAACTGAGTCTTAAAGAGAAAGGTCAGATGCCCATAAGCACATAGATGGCAACAGACAGGGAAGCAGACCTCATGATGTACAGATCCTCAATCTGTGGTGTATGTATTAAATTGCCCTCCCTTGTCTTCAGTGAATTGAAATTGCTCGCGTTGTTGGCACTGCAGTGCAGGCTTCTGTGATGTGGATGGAGAAGACCTAGAAAATAGTCACTTAAAAGGAAGCTAAGTTAACTGGAGCACAGGGCAGTTGCTTACTGCATTAACAATGGAACTTGTCAGCCTTTCCACTAAATTGCTGAATGAATCTGGGCAATTCCTTCACATCCACAAGCTGCCATTTTTGTAATTTAATGTAGGGATAATAACACACTTGGAGGTCCAGGCAACAAATTTGCTATATAGTGCTGCTCCAGTTCTCATTTAAGACAGTGAAATGAGAACAATGGAAAGGAACAGAGAGAATAGTAGGTTTCCCATTGAATTGAATTAAGTTTCTATGATACAACTCAAAAATCTCACTCTGGAAATAAGTGTGGCTGGTGAGAACAGTTGAATTTCCAGTCCCATGTTGATGCAGGGCTGTTGTGCTAGCAAGGGTGCAGCTTTGCAGCTGCGATTTAGGGGTTCTGCACCCCTCACCTGTCAGCATTGAACAAGACTCTTGAAGAGAGGCTTGTGGTCCGTGGTCTGCAAAATACACAAACCTCAGGGCTGAACAGAGCTCATCGTGGAACAGGGGAGAGAACATGGAAAACCTTAGAAGTGGAGACTGCTTCTGCATGTTAACATCTATTTATTAACATAAAAAAAATGCTGAAACAGAATCCTCTGGGTCTGCCTCTGAGCTAGTTTTCCTTTCCTCCAAATACAGTAGAACTGAGCTGTATGTAGATAGGCTTTCAGAGAAAAACTGACTACGAAAGAGTTAACCTGACTAGTGGCAACACTTCAGTAAAAGTGAGAGAGGTGGAACTCAAGTCCAAGTCTTAATAAAACACAGGTGTTTTATTGTTAGGTTAAAAACTCCTAGTCTAAGACTCCAGCAAGCATTTAAAAACAAGGAAAAAATGTGCTGTTGAATAAGAAACTTGGAAAGGCTACAACTGGCCACGTTAGGCATTTATGGAGAATGCATCATTCACTGGCTCAAGCCTACCATAAAGTTCACAGTGGGAAAACAAAACACATATTACATGAAGGACACCTCTTACAAAATGCATCTGGCCTCCAATGTGTTACACCTGGGATTAACTTCTGATACTCTCCATCATCCTGGCTTTGCTCTTACTACACCCTGCAGAGTGCTCAACACTATCACCTTCCAGCTCCAGCTCTTCTTGTTTCCTGGTCTGTTTGTGGAACTTATGAGGTGGTAGGCAGCATGAACATCACATTCAGCGCACTGATAGCTCAGCTCTTGCAACTGCTTTTCTGTCAGGGATGGGACCTTTTCCTTTGAACGAGAGAATGGTTGCTACTGCAGAACTAGTGAAAAGATGCAAGGAAATCACTCATCTCTTTATTCTCCTTTTCCCCATTCCCTCCACATCCCAAGGAAGCAGTCTTAGGGAGCATCTTTCAGTAAACTTCACTGAGTTTGGGTCACAGCGTAAAGTGATTGCTGTGAACTTTGAGCTTCAGCTTCAAGTTCCTCATGAATTTTGAGAACAGAAGTAGTTACAACTTATTAAAGAGAAGTGGAACATGAAGAACTGGGGAAGTCCGAATGCACTTACAGTGGTCCGAGGCCTAGGATTGCTGCATTGCCAGTACTGGGGCCTTTAATTAGTGTTATGGAGATGGACTGGGTATTTTTGGTATCTGCATAGTGAAAATAATTAACTGCGCTCAAAGAAACTAATTCACCCAAGAGAAAGTCAGGTATCAGTTTCCCTGGCCTTGGTCTTAGTGATAGAAATCAACTGTCATTACTAGAAGAGAAGGAAAGAAATAGTCCACGGAGGACCTAATAGGACAAGAAGCAGAAGAGTGGCTTTCAGGAATTAATGCAAGAGTTTAACAACTGCAATTTAATAGGAGAGAGAGAGGCAGACGTGCAGATGGTCAGGATTTGACGTCTTCATTCCCAGCCATCATCAAAAACTGATGTATTTTGAAGAAGCTTTTTGTGAAGATGCAATGGAAACACGGACTGCAGATTAACAGAGGCCTGGGAGTAGAAATCTTCATTTAGAGTATCCCAAAAGTCCTAATAGGAATCTTTATGTCAGCCTTAATTTGCCTAGGATGAGCCCCTTGAGGACAATCAAGAGAAGTTTCTGTCAGCATCTGCTAGCTACTCCTAATTTTAGATCTTCCCTGGCCTTCTCCTTTCCCCCTTCACCCTCTAAGACTGCTTCTCATCCCACTCCTTTGCAGCTGCTGGTTCCTGTTACTAACTTGCGTCAGCACTTCTCAGACAACTCCGCTGTCATTTGTGCTTTGCTCTATGAGGGAAACAACCCATGCTTTCTGTTCCCTCCTGAAAAGTCACCACACCTCAAGCTCCATCAGAGCTAGTCAGACCCTGTTCAACACAACCTCTGGCCAGCCCGGCACATCAGACTGCAAAAACTGACAAAGCCACTGGTCTCAGTGCTGGGAAATAGCCAAGATCAAAGCTAGAAGCTCGGTTTCTTTTATCTCTCATCAAACTGGCCCTTATTTTTTCTTTACAGTCTTAAAATTACTGTTATCTTTTCTGATGTGTGTTATCACTGTGAGTCACTGAGAAGTAGAGGACAGATTTCCAATAATACGTGTATAGCCAGACTGAAGTGTTGTCAAATTGGCTTGTCTGAAATAATAATGATGTCAGTTATTGAAATATTCGAGAGAAATACTTCTATTTGACTTAAAGTGAGCGATGAACTTAGCATCCCATTTCTTATTGTTCTCATTGCATGTTAAGAATTCCTTTTCCGAATTTCATTTCCTTTATGTGTAGTTATTTTAAATGCCTGGAAACAAAAATCCTTTACAGCTTTCTTCTTTATTTATCAAATGATGCAGTTAACTGCTTGTAAAAGAAACAAGGATCCCCATCTGAGAGAATAATAAATAGGTAATTCATTGCAGGAGAGGGAAAGGAGGGTGACAGGGCTGAGATTTTGCCAATAGCACAGAAAGCAAAAAAGATTAAATTCAGAATACTGAAGAAAGTCAAATCCTTTCCTTTTTTTGGTTCCCTATCTGTACCATCTTTGTGGGTATGTTTTAAGGAACAACTAGGATATGATTAATCTTATTCTCCTCTTTTTTTTTTTTTTTTTTTTTTTTAAGAAATAAAGAATGCTTACCCTAACTACTCCTTATTTTTTGTTATTGTAGCCTAACCTAAAAGACTTCAGCACCATCCCTTTCATAGGTGATCTGTAGCTCTTCTATGGGGAGTGAAAAATACCTGAAGTGCTGGTATGTAGAGCAGCAGGATCCTATGGCCTTCATTAAACAACAGGCTAGAAATGGGCTTTAGGGGCAGCTGTGCAGATGCTTCCATCCATGGCAGGGCTCACAAGGGATAGGTACAAGTGAGTACAAAACTGTTTGTTTTTCCTTTCCCTTGCATTACTGTGGGATACTTGCAAACATTTAATTAAAGCTATTGTATACATGCTTAACTTGGAGATGGTGGTTCCTTGAAACCGTTACACAGGAGCACCAAAGAAAATACAAGGGAGTCACTGAAGGAAAATACAAGTGAATTAGAAAAGCATAGCAACTGAAGAATACATTTCCCATAATACAACAGTCAAAGGTCATGAGGTCCCAGATGCTCAGTTGCTCATGCATATCTTCTATTCTCTCCACTTGCATGCCTACTCCAGAGAGGGCAAAGATTTAATGAGGATGGGGCTAGCTTTAGCAGTTCTCACCCTTCCTTACACCCTACATCTGAAAGACCATTGAAAACCTCTTTGAAGTTGGAATAGATTCAAATTGAACGGTCCCCGTGCACACATACAATTTGTTTTTTCTCATCAGGTAGAAAAATACAAGGTAACTGTTCTCTTCCGGCAGTCCTGGATACAAACAAAGCTGTTGAATCAGACTTATTGAATTTAGGGTGGAAAGGAGTTTCTCCAATCCATCTGTCTCTTCAATCTGCAGTAGCTGCCTTTCTCAGAGTCAAACAGTTTCTACTAGCCAGGTCATTTTTTTCTCAGTCCTTAAGAAGTTCAGTCAAAATAGCGTAGTACTTACAGGAAGGTTGGCAGGGTCAAAAAGTGACTGCAAAACCAATCTCTGGTTAAAACGCATACATTATCTGCTCAGATGTAGATACCATTAGAACTCAGAAATCTCTGATTTGCTATCAGGACCTTGAAGGTGATTTCAGAGTCAGATTTGTTAAACTTGGCAGCAGTATGAACATTGTCATTTGTCATTAGCAGAGCTAACTGAGTTGCTCCAAGTCCCACTTAATCTATCCAGCTCACTACCCTACAGCTTCTGACCTACTTAGTCACTTCCTGCCTCTGATTTTCACCCAGAAACCTCTTTTCTGTGTTGGTCTGTGTCTGCCATTTAATCTTAATCAAACTTCCTTAGGCTTCCATTACTGTCAAGTACAACTCCTCTCACTGCAATGTGCACACTTCTGAGTGCAGGAAAGTTGATTTACAGCCAACAGTCTACCTCTTCTCTTACGCTCTAAGTTCAACTTAGCTTTGTTTTTCTTCCTGTATGAGTCATTCCTTCCCCTCTTTGAGACACCATGCCACACTTTCTGATCCACCTCCATTCTCAGGGGCTGAGAAGCTGCAGTATACACCATTCTTGTTGAGATCTGGATAGCTATTACCATGAGTGCACAACTACTGCATGCAGATTCAGAAGAAACTGAAAACTAAGAAATTGAGTTGGTCACAGGCTGCTACAGAAAGTCAAGTATTTTAATGTGCTTTTGCTTCAAGACAGAAATTATAACCTGCTCTTTCCCTTTAAGCCTTTCTAATGAGCTACTAAAGCAAAACACAACCACTTTGTCTGTGTCTCCCAAACCTTGCATGTCCCCTGGTGCTTCTGGGCACCTGTTATAGAGATGCTGTATTACAGAAATTAATGCTGAATTATAGAGATGCTGTACATTGGGCACCAGTTGTCAGGGGTTTGCCCGTGATACTGTAATGTACCTTTGAACCAGAGTTCTTCAGGCAGTTTCCCTTTATGACCAGAATCCAATTTAAAGATGTTAACAGAATGCCATGGTGACTTTTGCTTGCACAAGGGCACTAGCTGGCCTGGTCTGTTGTTTCCACAGCTTCTTTTACCAGCACAATGAAGCTCGAAGGGACTGGGCCCTGTGCTCTTTGGATGTCAGACACAGAGTATTTGATGGCAACAGCAACTACGTGTAAGCCATATGAGAGACGTGCTTAGTCTCTCCTTGCCTTGTGCTCTCTCACAGCACTGTTTTCAATATAAACACTTCTGCTTTTTCCCCGTACTCATACTCACACCATACTCATACTCACACTCTTGATTCTTTGTCGTTGATGTTAACAAGCAGAGGGTATATGATCATTCACTGAGGGTAGCTTCCTAATAAGAAGAAAAATACCATACAGATTGAAAGGAGGAATTAGCTACAGGCCGTTCTCATTAAGCCTTTCTTTCAACTTATCTCTGCTTAAGTTGTATTTTTGAACTGCAGTCACTGTACGGCATTGTAAGTTGAAAACAACCACTTGAGTCCTTTCCAGTGAGGCTTTGAGTGGCCCTGATACTGTGCTTGGAGGAGAGATAAGCAGCGCATTGAAGTTGTGGTATCGCTGTCGCTGAGGGCAGGGAGTGAATGGAAACACAGCCTCCCTCTGGCACTGCCTCACTCTGGCTAGGGGGAAGGATCAGGCCAAGCAGACCTAGTTCACATGCAGCAGGAGGCAGCGGCCTCCCAGCTGATGACAGATTAGACTCAGGGCCTGGGTAGTGGGAACACTGTGATTGGGCTTCAGCAGCATCTGTCTCCAGCACTAAAGGAATTACTGCTGCAGGCTGTGATTTTCTCAGCAAACTGTAATTATACCAGGAGCCTCATTCCTGCCATTTTTCTTGACAACTTAAGTAAGAAAAAAAAAAAAAAAAAGAGGGTGAGGGAGCAGAGAAGCAGAAATTGTGAAGGGAGCCGGAAAGAGGGAAGAGACATCTGTTTATTTTTATTCAGCTCACCTCAGTGGCTTTCTCTAGGCTTCTTAGATCCACATGAATCACAGCCCCTTTTCCTCAGAGTCCAGTGCCAAGGTGTAACTCCCAGCACTGCCCTGCACACCACTGAGTTAACAGGATGCATCCTCCCTGTGCACTTTGGCCATGGCAGCTGAGCTGAGCATGCCCCAGCACCCCAGGCCTGGCAGTGCCTTTGACCTGTAGTAAGGACCAGACTCCAAACCCCTGAGAAGGAACAGCTGAGGCAGAAACGAGGCCATGGGGGAGTGGGCAAGGGGAGCTGGAGCCTGGATTCCAAAGCTATGCCTAGGATCTGAGCGCTGGCAAGAATTGTATGTGATGGCTCTGTGTTTTAAAAGATAGAGGAAGATCTGTGTATGTTTGAATTCTCAACAACATCTGATACATTTTGTCAAAATTATGATGTCAAAAAAGAGCAAAAATGTTTGTAAGACTTCTCTACCAGAAGAACCTTTTTGTTTCTGCAATTGTAACTCCATAAAAGCTTGTTTATCATTACTCTTTTCTTTGGTCAGGATTTTTTTTTTTTTTTTTTTTTTTATTAATGATTTAAATCCAGGAGAGTAGGACAGAAATATTTAAGAGCAGTGTATGCCACCACAGCTTCACCATCCAATACTTAAAAGGTAGACAAGGTCAAAACAATTCAAACTAATATACATGCTCTTTTCTTAACTTACCGTGGGGCTTTAATGCAATCCAGTATACTGTGAAGGCAGGAGAGCCTTGTCTGTGTCAAACAAACTACATCAAGTATCTCCTCCCCTGGAAGAAGGCAGAGCCAGCCCCTGCAGTGCTCCTGTCCATCCAGCAGCATGCTGGGGGGAAAGCACAGCAGCAGGCTGCAGACCCCTGGGCAGGGAGCCCTGCAAGCAGCAAATTGGCAGCAGATCCCCATCTGCAGGCCCAAAAACCTTCAGATATCGGTGGGAAAGACATGCGTCTGGAATTGTCTGAAACTGGCAGAAAAAGCTTGAGACAGAGTAGAGAAAGGAAGGGGTTAGAAGAAAAGTGGAAAGAACACTTCTTACACATTTCGCTTTCTCTTCCATCTGTGTGATATTGCTGTGAGCTATTAAATAGCTGCAGTGCTCTGCCCCCAAAAGGAGCTGTGTTTCAGTAGTGAGAGAATGAACCCTACATCTCAGTGCTTCAGGAGCCCCGTAGAACGAGCAGGGTGACAGAAATATGTTTCTTTGATTCACTATAATGCTAAACACACTGGAGCAGGGCACTTGGGGCAGCATGCAGAGGCCTGCTGGAGCTCTTCACACCTGAAGGCCCGGTACGCAGTACCTGTTCCTGACCCATCCCTTGTGCAGTTGGCAAGTCCCTCTTCTCTTTTGTCTTCCAGGCAGACAAGCAAGTGTTGCTTTCCAGCTCTCCAGCGCTGGTTCTGAAATTTAAGGAGGGCAGATTGCTCAAGCAAAAGTTGTTTGCTGACTGCAGGACTTCATAGCCTGGGAAGATAAGGGTCGTGTAGGAGGACTGGAAGCAGGAGGAACAGGCATAATGCAACTGCCAAGGACTGAGCAAGAGAACTTTTTTTTCTGCATCCATTCAGACGCTCAGCTATTTCCTGCTCTGTTCCTGCAGTCAGCATGCTCCACCTGCTTTTACTTAACCATTTCCTGTTTACTACTTCCAAAAGCTTTCTGGTGCAATCAGTACTCTGCTGCTAGACTGTCTTCATCATCCTTTTTTGACAGGCTTCACTACATTTTCTTCTTTCTGTCTTCTCTGTACACAGACCTTTCATTCTGTAGAATTGGGGCGGGGGTGCATGTATGCATGCATGCCTGCATGTGTTTCCGATGGCCAGATTCAGTCTAGTTTTGTCAGGAAAGTATTTGTTCGCTCACACACTTGTTCTTTCTCACTCCGTATACGTTGTCTTCTTATCCTCCTGCACATTGCTTTCTGCAGACTCACCACAGAAACAAACAGTATCACTGTAAGCAGGTTTACCTTACTGTAGGACAGAGGACAGAAGATAGAAGACAGACTCTTCCTGTTACTTTCAAGAGTTCAACAGTTCTCCGACAAACAAGAGATTTATTTCCTGGATAGCTTGCCCAAGGTTCACATTTTCTAGTTCTGAAAACAGTAAGACAGTTCCCTTCAGTTTGTCAGACAGGTAATGCAAGGTGTGAGGAGGCAGAAGGATCACGCAAAGAAAAATAAATCCCTTTCTAGATGTAGATGGCTCCCACAAGACCCCATCGCACACTCAGACATGTCTTAAAGAAACCACTACAAAATTATGCATGCTTCAAGCCTGCTCTTTTGCCATACTGTAGATAACACTGCAGCCAACACTAAAATCAAGTTTATTTGTTACTGCTTTTGCTGTTTGTTTAGTTTTTATATTTCTCTTCTGGGGTTGTGAAAATATATTCTTCAGTTTCCTCTCGGGTTCTCATGCTCTTGCACAGCACTGCAATGTTTGGGTTGCGGTGAGCACTGCAGGGGAATGTTCCCTTCTTAAAATAAATCATGGAAACATTTCTGTTGGAATCAGGGCTTGTAAAAGTTTATAGGTTGTTTTTTTGGGGTTTGTTTGTTTTGTTGGTTTTTTGTTTTTTTTTTTTTTCTTGTTTTGTTTTTTGGGTTTTTTTTTAAAAAAAAAAGAAGAATGTTAGGACAGGTTTGACCTGACAACAAACCCTTTTAAAGGGGTCAGGCTTGTGATGTGTGTCAGCGTACATGTATGTTTCTGGCAGTATATATACATATAAATATATATATATATATATATATATATATATATATATATATATATATATGTGTGTGTGTGTGTGTGTGTGTGTGTGTGTGTGCGCGTGTGTGCACACACACAAGTATATATGCCAGTTATACTGGTATAAGTGAGTGCTGAAAGCATCCTCAAAGAATGCTTGATATGTTGTCCCAGCCAGAATGAAACAGATACGCAAGTTCCTCTGCTAGCCCTGTTGCAAATTAATGTAAGCCAGTGGTGCCCAGGCTAATAGCTTTCCAGAAGAAGGCAGAGGTCCGTGAACATACACTGGTATTGTCTCCATGCTGTTCCACACTTTTGAAGTGAAGTTGATGGGCTCATGCTCATATTTCTGAATTTCTTAAGAACAACACTAGAACCATCCTGCTCCAACTACATGATAGGGTGGCAACTGTGCCCATGACAGGGAGTTAGAACTAGATTATCTTTAATGCTCCCACCCAAGCCAATCTATGATTGATGCTCTGGTTCTGTGATGCTATGTAATGATAGCACACTTGTGTTTGCTAGGAGGTATGACCTGGACATCACTGATATGCAGAGATCTATCTGCTGTAGGCATAGCACAACCCCACTTAAATCAAAGTTCGCTGAAGCATCATTCAAGTAGTCTGTGAGCAGTTTTATGAATTTTGTTTTTAAGCAGATGTAATGCTATAATACGATGGAAAGTACAGCAATAATAGCAGAGTGACACAAACCTAAGCTACAGCAAATGAGAAGACAAATACAGCAGCCATAGACACAAAAACAAAGGAAGAAAGACTGCTTACCTTTGAAAGGTCTCCAGGAGGCAGGGATCACCAGCAAGATACCCTTGACTCTACTGCCAACCCTTAAATGAGCTCCTGGCTCCACCCCTTCTGATCACTCAGGTGCATTGCATGCACCTGAGCTCCATTGGATTGGCTCTGTCTTCCCACCAGGTGCTCACTCACCATTTCAAGCCATGATTTAGCATTTCCACTACATCATGAAAGGAAGCAGTTGTTTTCTGCACAGAAGTGTCTTTCAGATTGGCCCAAATATGTAAAATGTCTGCTTTGGTTCCCATCCAGCCCAATTCATTCAACGGTTTGTGTCAGGGCACTTGTCATCAGTAGCAATTGCCCAGAGTGAGTCACACCCATGCAATGATGTGTTTTCATCTTCATTTTATAGGGCACAACCCTGGCAAATTCATGGCCGTATTGTACCACACAGCTCTTATAACAGCAGCTCCTTTTCTTCTATCCAGATGTCAGTCCAAGAGGCAGCTACTTCCAAAAAAGACTCTGTGATTCGGTGCCCATCTTTGTTTTCCAGATGTTTCTTTCAACACTCTGTTTTCCGGTTACTCTGCACATTGTGTGCATTCAAAATATTTTTGCCTCTCTCCCACCTCTAAAATGGTGGAAAGTTGGAATATATGAAAATGTAAGCAGAATGAGACTGGGACTGCATAGGACTCTTTCCAGGAAATGGGTAGAAGGTTCATCAGATGAGTCACTGAAACCTTAGATGACTAAATTCTTGTAGAATAAACTGTCAGGAACATGATACTGGACAGGACATTTAGAGGGAAGGAGAAACTTCTCAAATAG